GCTGGAAGATATAGCTCCTAATTTTGTTGTGTTTTCAATTTTGTACAGGGAAGCAATATTACTTGTCAACCAAAGGGATGATACTTTTGGAACCCACAATATCTGGATTGGAAGAAAACAGACAGTAGCCAACAGAAGATATTGTTTAATGAACCTTTACAGTTGGATCAGTTCTAGAGACTGCTTCCACTGAGGCTGTGAATGCAGGGTATGCATTCCTCTGTATAGGAACACAACAGATGTCACTGGCTGGATACATCACTGTGCCCAACCTGAGTTCAGCTCTGGATGCCAGAATGGGCAAAGGCAGCGTACAGCCACACTCCTGCTATGCTATGTCCTTGGAAATGTCTTTAGGTGCTCCGGGCAGCATTGGTCATTGTAGGTATGATGTAGAGACACTACACACAGTGATCTGAAGATTCCCTCTTTCTCCAGAGACAGAACCATCGGGTTCACACCTCTGTTTGCTAGTGCAGCACAAAGATTAATTAGCACCTGCATGAAAACGGGTCAGCCATTAAAACCAGAAAGACAGACAAGCCTGTGGCAGACACTTTAACTTCCCTGGATGTGCCATCACTGACCTCAGAGCAGCTGTTCTTAGACAAAAAAAAAAATTAAAAAAACTTGAACGGAAAACTGCAGAACAAGAAATTACCAACAGACTGGATTGTATTGTCTAAGCGGGTACAGATCCTTACCCCGCTACCTGGATTAGTTTTATAACCCCTGTGTCCTTGGGTTAAATGCTTTGTTTTTCTCTCTCCAACCCACCTTGCCTCTCTCAGTAGTGCCCACCCCATTTTCCCTCCTCCCTTCCCTACCCTTTCTTTTCTAATCACTGCTTTCTATTTAGCAAATCTCCTTCCTGCAATCCCTTCACAGCACCTGATGAAGTAAGATCTTTGCTTACAAAAGCTTATGCATCTCTGATTTAGGTAGTTTATAAAGGTGCAAATCTACCCCACCTTCTGACAGGAACTTTGCCATTGTCTCATGATGCTATGCAATCTATCAAAAACCAGAACAAGCTACGGGGCTTAAGATTTAGGGGGTAGAAAAGTATCTGAAATATGGCACCGAATGTATATTGGCTGGATTGGGAGTTTAGAACATAAAAATTGCCACACTGGGTTATACAGAAGTCCCTCTAGTCTAGTATCTTACCTCCAATAGTGGGAAGAAGTGGCTAGCTTAGAGCAGTGGTTTTCAACTTTTCATTTGTAGACCCCTAAAACATTTTCAATGGAGGTACAGAGCCCTTTTGAAATTTCAAATGGAGGTGCAGACACCTTTGAATTGTAGATGTGGGTATTCATGAACTTTTGATTGATCATAGTCATCTTTCAGGGACCCCTTAGACACAGGTTGAAAAACACTGCCTTAGAGGAAGAATATTAGGAACAGGCACGTATCAGCCATCCCATATTCTGTTGGCCACCAGAGTTAGGTTACATTGATGTGTTTAGTAGTCCTTGGAGGACCTGTCTTGATTAATTTGTCTACTCCCTTTTTTAACCCAGTTATACTATTGGCTTTCACAAAATCCTGTAGCAGAGAGTTCCACATAGGAATTATGCTCTGTGTGAAAAAGTACCTTCTTATGTTTGATCTAGACCTGCTACCTGATCCTTCTGCCCCCCAGTTCTTCATTATGAGACATATAAAACAGCCATATACCTTATTCCCTTTTTCCACACAATTCACAATTTTATCAACCTCAGACTATCATAGCTCCTGCATCAGTCATCACTTTTCTAAGTTGAAGAGTCCCAGACTTTCCAATCTCTCCCTGTATGAACGCTATTTCATACTCCAGATTGTCTCTGTACTTTTTATAGTTTTTATAGTTGTCCTTTTTGAGAGGGGGTGACCAGAACTACACACAGGACCCGAGATACAGGTGCACTGTAAAAGTCTATAATGTTGACTTCTGTTTTGTTTTCAAATTATTTCCTAGCGATTTCTAATGTGTAAGTTACTATTTGACCCTTGCTGAACATTGGATTGATATTTAGAGAATTGCTGAGTATATAGTTACAGTTATTATTTCCCACCTGCATTTCTTTATCCTTATCAATGTTCAGTTTCATCTGCCACTTTGTTGTCTATTCAGTGTTGTAAAATTGTTCTGTAACACTGTTGGAATTGATTACCTCAAATAATTTTCTATCATTTGCAAACTTTGCTGCTTCACTATTTCCTTTTTCATATAATTTATAAATATGTTGAATCACTCAGATCCCTGGGGGACACCATTGTTCACCTTCCCCCATTGTGAAAAATTGCCATTTATTTGTTTTGACCAATTTTCAATCAATGGGAGGATCTTCCCTCTTATCTCATGATAGCTTAGTTACTTTAAGAGCCTTTGGCGTGTGACATTGTTGAAAGCTGTCTGAAACTCCAACTAGACTGTGTTTCACTTCCAATTATCAATTGGCTCCCCCTTATCCACATGCATATTGACACCCTCAAAATACTCGAGAGATTTCTAAGATCATTCCTCTTTGCAAAACTGATGTTGACCTCTCCCCAGGACATCAAATATGTCTGAGCGCTTACTAGCTTTACAAGTCAAGTAAAATCCTCCCTCCCATGGATGTGAGACATTGATCCTGCCCCAGGCTAGTAAGGAGGGAGGACAGATGGCAGCAGGGAATTGTCTTTGACCAGTGTGAGGGCTAGGTGGATTTGAGACACTGCCACTGCCCCAGTCTGGTGGGCTGGCAGTGTAAGGGTGAGGGGCATTGGCACTGCCCCGGAGTGAAGCAAGAATAACCACTCCCTGCTGAGGCAACAATGTGTGCACACATTAGAGCAGTGATTCGCAACCTTTTTAGACTCAAGACAACTCTTGACAGACTCAAGGCACTTCTCAAAAAATGTCAGCTCTTGCTTTCCACTTGAAGAAAAATAATAGAGCAATTCCTCAGTTGCAAACAACTCAAAGACCACAGGAGGTCAGACTGCTTTTAACACTCCGGATTCTCACTAGAAATCTCCAGGTTTCTTCTGAGCGTCATGTCTACACACCTATTGGCTCTGACATCGTATGCTACCTCACATCGCTCCCGAAAGGATCTCAAGGGCACCTGCCTGAGAACCCCTGAAGCAGGAGCCCCTGAACCCCAGGAGCAGCTGCCATTTCCAAAGACTGCGGCAGGGCTGTGACACTGCCCCTGAAAAGTGTGTGTGTGACAGAGCTCCGGCCCTAAATGTGAGAGCATGTAGACCACTATCCCACACTTGTCAGGGCTTGTGCACACCCTGTGCCAGGCTAAGCAAGGGGGGCGGGGTATGACACAGACCCATCCTCTAGTCTAGAGGGGACGAGGAGGGGGTGACTGGGTGAGTGAGGGGTCGTATAGTGCGCACACCCTCTCTCTGTAGGCTGGGGCGGGCGGTCTTGTGTGTGACTCGCTGGGTGGGGGTGTTGTGACACAGACAAGCTCAGGGGGTGAGTGTGTGACTGGCTGAGGGGATATAACACACGCTCCAGACCGGTGGGTGGGTGTGTGAGACAAGAGGCATACAAAGTGCACACCCATGCATGCGAGTGCGCTTCAGGCCGGAGGGGGTGTAACACACCCGCTCGGGGCCGGGGGCTGTGACAGCGCCCCGCAGCCGGCGGGAGGGGGAGGGGCGTGGCCGCAAGTGACGCGAAGCCTCCGCCGCCTGGGGCTCGAGGAGCAGGTCGCGCGGCCCCGCCCCCTATGAATGCGTCCCCGGCGGCCAATCAGCGGCGGGCAGCTCATGAATATGGAACGAGGCCGGGGCCGCGGCCCCTGTCATGCGGGCCCGGGCGGCGGCTGGCGGCGGCGCGGCG